CTATGAGTTAAAAGCCAACAAACATTGGCGAATAAAGGGGAACAACCGGTACCCACCGCTTGATACCTCTACTACTCAGTTACTTGGCGACTAGGTAACAATCATGTTTACTTGGTCACTCCTTAAAAATTTAGTATGAAACTAAAAAGGTGTTCATACAACACCTGTTCACACTAGATTAAATATGGCGGGGAACAGTCGGCCTAGACGGCCTAAAGTCTCTAGCCTAAAAACATGACAAGTAGGAAACCACTTTCCTACTTGGTTAATTTTACAAATGACAGAACCGCCTGCCTAAAGGGGATCCAGTCTTTAAATTGGTTCGAATACCGATTGGATAAATGGCCGACTGATCGTCTAGCCTGGAAACAGACAACCAGTCGTCCAGGGGCATAGGCGGCGTGACTAACTATCCGTACCTGTCTGCAACTATCGGCCATGTAAAACAGTCGGTATAGTGTACAATTGGATATCAGAATATTCAATACTTGAACAAATTTGAAGCAAAACAAAAATATTCATTAAAAGGAAGCCGGTCATTAAAGACCGGCAAAATATTCAGAGCCCCGGCCCCCTGGCCGGGTAAATACAAACAAACGGCACGCAGGCCGGGGAAAGAAGACATAAAGCTTATGAAGGGGGCAGATCTTCAATATTAGCAGTTGCCGCCTAGTCAGCACTCTTTTTGCTGGACTCGGCTTCAGCTGCATCCTTCTTCGATGTATTACCCCCAAGCGGCACAAGCGCCACTACCGGCTGCTCCTCCTCCTCCAACGCCTCTTCCTCAGCAGCCGCCAAGATCTCTTGATTATATCTATCAGAACACTGGCGGTACGTTTTTTCCCAGGAGGCAAAGTCGGCATTGGGGAAGAGGCGGCCCCAAGTCATGCGCTGGATTAGAGTCTTCCATCATCTCCCGGACCAGCTCTTTCTTTTCTTGCCCGGCCTTTTCCGAGAGCTCCTGAGTAAGACTCTTCTCCTGGGTCACCAGGCGTTCCTTTACGCTCGCCAAGGATTTCTCCAAGGTTTCGTATGAGGACATCTTTTGGCGAAGAGGTCTCAGCTCGGTCTTGAGGTTGTTGATGGTCGCCTCCAGCTCGCTATTCCTCTTCTGGGCCGCCTCTAACTGAGCCCGGATAGCGGCGGTAGCCTGCGCCTGATAATAAAGAATATCAATTGTCAGAACTTCATTTTGGGCAATTTGAAACATTGCCTTATCACAGTCAGAGGCGGCCATAGCTTTTGCAGCCTTTAACTCTTTGTTCTTCCGGTCAAGCGGCTTGCGAAGGCCGTTCACTCGGAGCAGGGCCTAAGTAAAAAGGGGAACAGGCGTCAGTTTCCAAACAAAAAAGAAAACAGGCATCCTGGAATTCAAATACTCAAAAATATGCTAAGTATACCTCAGCAAGGACCCCTGCAATCCCGTCTAGGTCAAGGGTGCCGACACCCCTGACCGCCTCCCTTTCAGCTGGAGGTACGGCCTTGATCATAGACTTGGCCACTTCGACCAAGCCAGGCTCCTGAGGGCCGGCTGCATCAAGCATAAACAAACGGATTAGACCTAGTAAAGGAGAGAGCAAGTCTAAAATTTACAAGGACAATTTCATACTTCTAAGTGGCCCAGCTGGAGTTTTAGAAGAAGTGGCCGGCTGTTTCTCAGCCGCCGCATGTTTCCTGGCAGAACCAGGAGAGCTCGCAACAGTCGTCCTCCGGGCCTTGGGGTCCGGCTGTTGGGAAGAAGAAGCTCTTGGAGCGCCCGTCTAAAAAAGAAGAAAAGAGTCAGTATATGCATAAACACAACTCCAAAAAGAGGGTGAAAGGTTCGAAGCCCACCAAGGGTGCCCCCTTGTTGGGGGAGTCGGTTGAAGACTGTTGCATGATGGAGGCCCGCAACATGGCCGCCGCAGTCTTGGAGGCGGTAATTTTGCTCATGGCGTCCGCTGCAAAAACAAATAGCAAAGTTAATAAAAGTCATAACAAGAAATGCACGGAACAACAGAGTATTCGACAGGCCGACTACCTCTTGAGCACCGACTGCTGAGGCCACAGGCAGCCAAAAAGTACTCGTCGTAGAGCCATTTGAAGCTCGGGACGCAGTACAGGGGTACTTGCTCTCGTACCCCTGAAATAGAGTTCACCTTCGACTCTACTTTGAAGAGTCCTTTATCTAGGATCTCTTTCTTAGCCTTGGGGGGAACAGGCGGCATGCTGCGGCCGCCTGCAAGAAGGGGCGGATTCCTGTTCCACCTGTTGAAGCGCTTGTTCAGCTCTGTGTCTGAACTCTCAATGATAAGGAAGGTGCTCCGCCAGTCCTTCCATTTGTTTGCTTTACCTCTCGTCATGAGGTAGCCCCTGTGGCTCGTCAATTGATACCAGCCGGTACCGCCTGCCTTAGGGGTCCGGCTGAGGTAGTTCATGTGGGCGAAAGCCTCGAAGTTCGGCTCCACCCCGTGCAGTTCGCACCCGGCCACATAGCCGAGTACGTTGACCCAGGAGTTCGAGGCTAACTGTCATAACCCCAACTCATACCCATCCAAGATCCGCTGAACAGCCGGATGTAGTGGGAAGCGCAGCCCAGCCTTGATGGCCGCCTCGTAGCAGCCAAAGCAGGCGCCATCATAACTGGTACCAGCCGGCCAGACGACTGTGTCTTCCGGATCCGGCACGAACACTAAAAAGTCGGGGCCCATTGTGTGGTTTGCGATAAAGCTCCCCACTTTCTCTTGCATGGCCGTGATCCGGCCCCGAGGTACCGTGCAGTAGTAGGGGGTATTTTGCTCTCGGTGAGAGGCGGATGGCTCCGCCCAATCGTCCCCCTTCTCAACTGCGTGAGAAAGCCTCGCCTCTTGTAGGCGACTGTTTTTCTCTTCTGTGTCCAGAGAAGCATGGCCAGAAGAGCTAGACTCGGATTCGTCTTCTGACGAGTCCGAAGAGGACGACTCCTCCCCTCTCCCGGAGGGGCCCGCCTCCTCTCCTTTAAAAGGAGCAGGAGAGAATGTAGAATTGTCAACTGTAAAATGGGAAGGGGTCACTTTGACTCCTCCCTCAGAACTGTCGGCTTTCAAGCCGCTTTGTTTCACTTCCACATCTGGCGCCTGGTCAGATGTTTCACTAATCGGCACCCTGTGGGAGGAGCCGTCTGAGTTTGAGATCCTGGCAGTCTTTTTTGTTCTGGCCATCATGCTCTGCATAGACACAGATACAGTCGGACTTTGTATAAAGGGCAAAGATGGGTCCAGAAAAGGGCAAGCGGCACTCCTAGTCCTAGATTAAGCCGTCCCCGGTGACCGGCTGATCACTAACCTAGGTCGTGTCGTGTGCTTCCGTGGTGCCATTTCAAAAAAGAATAAAGTAAAGAGAAAATTAAGAGTAAGAGAACCGACGGTTACCTGAACGAGTGACGATTGATGAAGTTCTGAAAATCCTTTGCAGTCGGCTTGTCAGAGCAGGCGGTAGGCAGAAAGGGTCCAAAATGTCAGAGCAAGTTCAGGGGTCCGACTGTTCTCTCACAAAGTTTAAGTCAACACTCCTTTATATAGGCGAAGTGAGAAGGCGAAGGGTCACTTCCAGAATTCAAAATTTTGGCGGGAGAATCTCTCGGCCTCTCGCCGAGTGACACCTGTAGCAGGCCGTCCTGTCACAGGTAACACGTGACCAGTCACGTGCCACCTGTGAGGGGCAAATGATTAGGGGATTTTGCTCCCACCAATCGGAATGCGCCACGTGGGCCAATCAGGTCCTGCCAAGTGTCCCCCAGTTGGACCTCTCAGGGCTTGCCACGTGGCACACGCTTATTCGTCCACCCTGGACTTATTATGTCATGACACGTGGCATACTCCATGCCAAATGGAGAAGCCGGTCACCTAGGCCCAACTTCCGAGGGAAGCCCAATCAGCCCAAGGTTAACCTAAACCTAGATTGGCACGTTTCCCGAGGTTATAAATACCTCCCTTAATCCTCATTAAGGGAGATTACGCAAAAACGCAGGTTACACACATTAAACACTCTCACCTAGAGACACCCAATCACTTTAATTTCCGCATTAATTACTCCTTAATCAAGTACTAACTTGATCGTCGGAGGCGGATCTCCAATCATCCGGAGCATCCGTTTGTTTTGCAGGTACAGGCGTCCGGTTCCAGTCTCGGAATTGTAACTCTCCCGCAGGACATCAGAAAACCCCGAAACAACTTCCTTGACAAACAGATATAGACAGCTACACACCCAAAACCCAACTTATAACTGCTACTTTACTGTGTAGGCTTGCATGTTTGCAATTGGGGCTCAATTGCATGTAAATGGAGCCAAAATAATCATAAGCCCACCGTCAACTACAAGTCTACAGCACCCCCTCCCCCCAAAAAATATCCACATAATAAAACGAAGAAAAAAAAATCAGGATGAAATTTTTGCTTGGTCTTATGACTTCTCGAGCAATGAAGGAATCAACAAGCCACAATTCATTCACAGAAATGATATTATGGTGCTCAGCCAATAGGTAACACAAAACTTCCTGGTATAAGACTATAAGGGAACTTTTAAACTAGCTAGAAAGAGATCTCAAATCAAGCTCACTCACACAATTCCAAATGATGAGTACCAAACATGCTCACAATTCACAAGACACTTCAAGAAATGAGGAATATTATAAACAGTTAGATGACAGAAGTTGGTGTTGGATCACTAATCAACTAATTGAAATCAGGATGCAAGCAAATGCACAGTTAGAAGCAATAAGTAAAATAATAGCAAGATTATAAAAATAAAAAAAAAATAAAAAAGAAAAGAAAAAACCAATCAGTCTTCAGACTACTAGTCTTATTTATATGATGAGCTACAACAAACAGGCATTCAATATTTGTGGAAGAATTCACTCTCCTTACGCCTATGCATGTGTTAGTGCCTTAGGATATTTCAGAAAGTTACATACTGTGAAAGAAGTGAAGATAATTTTTAAGCAATAAAGAATGATCTCTTTTTTCAGAATGGAGTAACCATACCCTTGTTAAGTTATACATTTCTTTCAAGACACTGGTTGATAAGTCAAACAAAGGCTTCCCACTTAAACCACCGACTTCCTGAGATAGAGGATTCTGGCTGATGGAGTCAGGCCTTGAAATAGTCGTATTTGATATAATCTGCAGAGAACCAGACAATTTTTTAGAATGTAGCACATTATAAGTTAAAAGTAATCTATTACCATAATCAAATTTCCCAAAGTTTATCAACCAAGTCTTAGACATGTGCACATCAGCAAATGCTTGTGCAGTCATGCAAATATGTGCCGCTCATTACTCATTACTCATAGTATAAGAAATCATACAGTTAGATATTCCAATCTAAAAAAAGGCATGATAACCTAATATGAAGAAGAAAGCTTACCAGTCCATCTACTTGGAGAGCAAGCGCAACCTGGGAAAGGGATGAAATAGAAAATCTTAATATAGTATATAGATACTTAACAAAGAATATACAGTTCACAATCAAACAAGTACCGCAGCAATGTCTTCAAGGTCCTGTTTAGACAAGTCGGGGGCAATTTTAACAAGCAACGGAGGTGGACCTTCATCCCCCCATTGCATTTCATCACGAGCAGCTTGAACCTACATAATTTTCCACAACATAGTTAGTAGAGTAAAAGCAATGTGTAGATATATACGTAGGATCTGAAGACAAAACCTTTTTAACGAGATCCTTAAGTTGTTTTCTTCCTTGAAGCTGACGCAGTCCAGGTGTATTTGGTGATGAAACATTGATCACCTGATTAAAAAAAGGACACTTTAGATTTACAAAAACTGCAATAAACAGATTTGGGTAGCTAACACCACCATAAACATATTGTGATATCAGCTAAAAACTTATACTTTATTGTAACAGCCAATAAAAATAAAGAGTAATTAATACTTTGTCTGGATAACAAAGGAGGAAAGAAAGGAAGAGGAGGGAAGAGAAAGGGAGCAGAAAGGTTAGCTCCATTTTCCCTCCAAAACTATCCTATTTTGGAGGGATTATACTTATTGATCCCTCCCTTTCATTCCCCTTCCTTAATCCTTTACTCAAACAAGAGAAATTGTCCTCCTCCCTTTCTCCTCTTCTTTTCCTTCTATTTCCTTCTATCCGAACAGTGTGTAAGATTTTACATAGATGCAATAAGGACCAATGACTATCATAAACATGAACACAAATTGAAAAATTACTCTAGCTGATACAAAAGAAGACATAAGGGACAGAATCAAGAGAATCAACATGATGTACCAGCATTTTGAGAGGACAAACAAAAAAAATTAATTAAGCACCAGATAAGGGAAGTCACCAAAGTAAATTTTGTAGTAAATTCTTCCCAGTATTTGGATAATCATAACTGGCCAAACAAAGGGAACATGATTTTAATATAAAATAAAATAAAACAAAATAAAATATATAAAAATAAAAAAAAAAACCTTTCTTCAATCAACAAGACGAGCCCACCACCATATACATTGCTTATTTTCACAAAATTTTATAGTTATTTTCAAACTGCTATGAAGCCCACACAAAAATGCAAATAGATTAGTTGCATCCCTACATACTAGGAAAAATCAGTCATTTGGTACTAGCCGACAGAGATATAATGGACTTCAGATACAGACTCTTGGACAATTGGACATGCTAGAAGTTTGCTGTGATATACAAATTAGTTGTATTTGGTAAGTTGTTTCACTTTGACTTTCAAGCTTTCCAATGCACAACTTTGATCATTAATATCTTTCATCACAAATTAGTAAAAAGCTGAAAATTAAACAATGAGATAAATTCAACATTTAACAAGATAATGTGTTTGTATATATTAGTAAGAAAATAAGGTCGAAGTGGGTTATGTGAATATCTTAGAAATCAAAGTGGGACAAGGTCGACAACTATGCAAAACAGAGGGAGTATATAATCTGAAAGCTGAAACCATTATTTAAAGATATAGACTAAAAATAAAACAATACATAACCTAGATTACATTAAACAGACATAGGTATGGAAACAATGTAGAAAAAGGAAAATTAATCCCAAATAGACAAATAGTACACGAACACAAAAAAAAAAAAAAAAAAAAAAAAAAAAAAAAAAAAAAAAAAAAACTATTAAAAAAGAATTTAATTTTAGATCAAAAAAGGGAATTAGTTAACATGAAAAATGTTTAAACTCAATACTTGACTGCCCAAAAACATTGTTGTTAGCAAATTCAAAAAGGAACCTAATTATATGTTTCCACATTATCAACTGAAGGGAAGCCAAAAGGATTGGTTATCCCTGGATATGTTCAGCCCATGATGAGGACCTCCTCAAGTTAGATCTTGTATAGACATTTTCCACGAGGAATACATATTTAAATTATTAAATAAATTTTTGGAGAAAACTTGTAAGGGTTTTATATTCCAAAACACATTTGGCAACTTCCCATCACAAAGTAAACCAATTAATAAGTTAGTAAGTAGCTTTATTGACTAAAATATGTAAAAGTTTATATCTTAAATAAATAATCCCCCAATTCTTATTTGTTCAAAGTATTTTCCATGTATGTTCATTCTTGTATGCCCACTATGCTTTATTTTAATTGAGGCATATCCCCTTTAGGCTTTTACCATCTTACCCCACAATAATTAAATCTTTTCACACTCTTTCACTTTAAACAACTTTTAATTACCCCTATCCACCTTTTTACAATCTCTCTTACCCACTTTACATTCACTCACATTTTTCAAAATTTGCTTAACCAACATATCTACAGCAATTGAGTAGAACCAAATAATAGAGGTAGTCTTTATACTCTAATTCCTTCTTTTTTTCCTTTCTTTCTTTCCTTTTTTTTTCATTTTTTATTTATTTATTAATTTTTTTTTAACTTTTTTAGAGTATTTACTATGAAAAGAAAACTTTATCAAAAGATACATTCATGCGGGATCATGTTAGATTCTTATCTACGTGTATATTAAAATTATCAACTTTTCACCATAATATTGCACAAATTTATGTAATATATGCATTTGAAGTTTTGCAAAAAGTTAAATTGGACAAACAAAAAGGATTAGAGGGAGTATGAGTTTAGTAATTATTTATTCAAGGAGATTTAATGACTATTATAAACATAAAAGAAAACTAATCTCAGTGATACAGTCCACATAATAAGTACTGTAAGTAGCAAAAACTACAAAATTCAACACCAAGATGCTTTTGAGAAGGCCAAAGCTTGCCCCTTCCAACTTTTTTGATAGAATATTTAAAGCTTAGTTAGGTAAATGCTTATAAACACGTGTTTTAGTTATATTGTTGCAAATGGGTGAATGTGAACGCCATCTAATTACAAAGTTGGTATACACACAAATCTGTATATTTATATTTATATTTATATTTATATAGGCTGAATATTTGGTAGCTCCTTAAAATGAAAATTGGACTCACAGTAGCTAAATTTACTTTAGGAAAACAAAATCAATAATTATTACACATAAAGCAAGTAAGAAACAAAAGAATATCTACCAGGTAGTCTGCATACTGAGATAATGTGTGCACTCCTTGTACATAGTCATTAGCAGCATCTTCACTTGTCTTATTCTTGCCAAGGTTGACACCAAGAATTCCTGGCCCAGCCTTTCCTCCTGGTTTCCCCCCATCATTAGCAGTTGGGGAAGTGCTAGAACTCTCATCTAACTTCCTCTTGCCGTGCTGTGCACCTAAACGTTTAGCAACAGCTTGTATACCCTCACTATTAAACCCACAGTGATTGATGATTGCACTGTTTATATATCAATCAAATGCAATATATTAGAGAGAGAATTTTTGCATGTATCCAACAAACTATATGAAGCCCATGCAGCCACATGTTCTTATCATTACTTAACAAATTAACATAGCTTATGGTTTCCTATCCAGGCTCTCTCTCCTAATTTGCCAGCTTCAAACCAATGTTAACGATACGCATCAAAAAATTGAAGCTTGAACAAGAAGTGATGGAAGTTATGGGCTGTGGTTATACGGGTTTAGCTGAGGGATGACATGAGGACAAATAAGTCTAAACCAACTTTCCCATTTTTTTATATCCATAGACACTAGGCAGGCTTTGCCAAAACTTTGGGTGGTTTCTATATAAAGATAACCTCTAAGAAGATATTAGATGATTCACCTTACTATAGTGCCACAATTTTTGGATAAAAAGATCAATTTACAAGAATGGGGAATTTTCAAATTAATAATTTTTTGTTCATACACTGGAATAGTGGAATATAGGTAACCATACAAATGAAATGAAACTATAGTTGATCACTAAAATTAATTTGTGATTCTATCACAGGCATTATTGATAAATCAGGATGTAAGGGTGCATGTGCATATGTGAGCGTGCATCGGTGTAAAATGTATATCTATATATGTATTTATGCAGAAATTAACAAACACGCCCAAAAGTGTGCACACGCTTATACACATCTTTATGCAGGATCAAAGGTAGAAAGGATCAGCTAGAATCATGAAAAAAAAAGCATTTGATGCTGATTGTTCCAAAATTATACTTACCGTTCCTCCCGCAATCTAAAGATACGAGGCTTTGGATTGCCCACCTGTGGAACAGGAGTAACAGAACCAACTTCTACAAAGCCATAACCAAGACCCAGCAGACCTTCGACAGCCTCGGCATTTTTATCAAATCCAGCAGCAAGACCTATTGGATTGGAGAATTTTCTTCCCCAGACTTCCAGTTCTAGAATGGAAGGATCTGGCCTTTTTTCTCTAGGAACCCATCCACGAGCAGCAGCTGAGACAGCCAATCTATGAGCAACCTCTGGATCTAATAAGGCAAAGAATGGATTCACAAGTTTTGTCGCTGAAAACAACCAACCACTGCAGAAGAAGATTACAGCTATTATCATAATGAGGGATTAGAAAGATATGACATAATACTTCTCCAAAGAATCAGCTATGGTGTTACCCAAAAATTGTTGACAATAAATCACAATAATGACAAGCTAGCCTGAGTCACTTATTAACAGACAAAAATGTCAAGAATTCAATCACTGTACAGTGTGCAGTAATTCCCTTCATTATATACTTTTGGCAATTTACACATAAGTTTTTTTTATAAGTTAAACCTTGATTTATAACAACATTTTACTCAATTGCAAGTATAAAAGGACTGGGTAAAAAGTGGTTGAAGTAGGGTACATTTCTTTTATATGTTAAAGTGTATGAGCTGAGGAATTAGATTTTAGCTATTTCATTATTATTGCTGGTTTGCAGATACCAGAGTTCTAAAATGGAAATTTTCCATCTCTGAATTTAACTCATAAAGAGGTTGGGGGTTCGTTTTATACTGTTCGGGAGATTTTTAGGGAGATAATTCAAGAGAATAGGGTTCTGGGTACTGGACAATTTACTTATGAAGAGCAAAAAGGTGATACCGTTGCAGTTGATTATCCATTGGGAATAATTTCTTCTGAACCTCAAGGTGTTTTGTTTCAGACAGCAAGTGGACTGAATGGTTTCTCGAGTCAAGAAAAAAAGGATACTATGGTGCTCAATTTAGACAACAATAGGCAATCTACCAGACATTATGATATGGATGTTGTTCTGCACTCTACTGAACATTGGACTGAAAAAATAGGGGAAGACGCTGCTAAGGTGGCATGTATATCAACAAGTAAGGAGACTGATAACCTTGTCATTTTGGATCATCAAGAACAGGCAAATTTGGAGGTGTCTTTGAATAGCAATGGGCAGTGTTTCAATGTGAGTGAAAGGGATAATGTTCATTTTGTAAATCATGTGCAGATTAATGAAACGTCTGAGCAGTTTGATAAGCTGTTAGCAGAAGGATCACCAGAATGTGAGATTTTTGAAGCAGGTAAGGAATCAGAAGGTAATGGTGACTAGAAACTAATTCAACACTTCCAACTGAGGATGTGCAGGTAGAGACTTTCCCATCGAGGCACACAACTGAGGAAACTAATTACTCAAGAAGCACATTATCTGAATCAAGAAAATTTGATTGTAATTTAAATGATTTGGTAGCTGAAAAGGTTCGAATAAGCAATAGCATTCTGGTCTTGGATAAAGAAATCTCCTCTGACAGTTCTTCTGATTTGATGACAATTAAGAGAGCAACAACTTTGAAGTTTCAGCATTGTCAATCATATGGTGGTTCAACATAGGGAGGATAATCTCAAAATTGACTTGATAGATATGCCCAATTCGTTCCCAATCAAAGGTGATACTATAATCCACCATGATCGCATGAACCAAATATCACCACCACATGACTCAACATTGAAGACTGCTGGACCCAAAAAAAAATAAAATAAATAAATAAATAAATAAAAAATAAAACTTGATTTCAGTAATTGATTGAATCGTGAATTACTTCAACGCTGTCCTTACAATCATATTATTCTTACTCACAGATGTTTGACAAGGTAAATTATGTTAAAGCTGCAAGCTTTGCTAAATGCCTAATCTGTTTGACACTGTCAATGCAACAATGTCAGATTATCATTCTGTAAACTTCTCAACAGAACTAACTCCTGGGAATATTTCCATCCCGCAAACTAACTTGAAACTAAAAGAAACCAATAAAACAAATGACCAAAGAGAAAATATGAAAATTCTGTAATATAGTCCCAATAACAGCATAACCTTTTTCTTAGGTAATAACAGCATCACCTTGAAGCAGAGTGAAGCAAATCCGTAAATATTAGTTTCTAAATGGTACTCCGTAAGACCATGAATCCCAACCATACTAAACTCCTAAATTATACCATCATTAAAATCTCTGGAAATGAGGACGAAACTTAACACTCGAGGAATTTTACATTAGTTAATAACCCTCAAAAATCAATGTGTCTTGTCACCTTAGTTGAAGCTGGAAATTCCTAATTTTACCCAGGATCAGCAATAACACAATCTCACTCCTAAAGTAGCCTCTGGTTGATAGGTGATTCTTCCTAGTCACAAGCATGTCTTCCTAGTTTTCAGTGTCTAACTCTGTCATCTTTGCTGCATTGACAAACTCAGTCAGTCCTACAGGTAACTGGCATGTAATGCTAGCTTCTTTTGGATTGGCTGTACTGAAATATGTTACTTAGATGGTTTTGCATCAACAGAAAAGTTTTAAACTATCAATCAATCAAATCTCACTTCTCCCACATGATCATCAAACTCCCAATGCCTTCATTATCAATTACACATGACAATTCTACTACACATTACAAGTTGTACTACCACAATTCCAACAGTTCTCTCGTCAAAAAAACACTCTTTATTTGCCATTTGCAAATTATGACAAGAAGCGCAATTTTCTATGAGGTTAGCAAATTACATTAAAGTTAATCATCAGTATATGAGCACTTCAAAGAGCTATTTTCTATAAATAGCTTGGGAAGTGGGAAGCTTTATCACATTCTTATGACTGTCAATCAGCCACAATGAGGATACCTTATTCTTTGCCAATTGATCCATGATTCAAGGCTACCTAAACTAAAAATTAAGCGACATTGCCGACATTATCCTATCACGAGTTTCAAGGCTAAACTATGTTTTGCCTTCCATAAATCATAGGGCTCTTTTTTTCCTATTGCCCTTCCTTTCATGCTACGAGCAGATGGTATTAGCAATGCTTAGTAACAAATATTAAAGTTTTATCAAACATTCAAATCACCAAAATGCTAATAATGGCTACACATATCGCATCCGAAATAACGATAAATCGAAAACAAAATACCAGAATGTCGCTTCATCGACTGTACTAACATAAGCTCCTCCAGCTATAATTAAGCCAATTGTTGCTCCAGTCAATAATCTTCCCTATACGTTAACCAAAACAAATATAGCATAATAAGAACTCAACAATGAATTAATTTTGATCTGTAATTTAAAAATCTTCAAATTCAACAGCACAATATAAAAATCTAAAGTTAACAAATTTAATTTAAATTTCTTCAAAACACGAAGCTTATAATGCCAGTAAAAATTCAATTGAATAATCTGCCGCTTTTATACAAGAATTAACAGTGCAATTAACGAAATTTAAATTAATCAATCACAAAACTAAAATTGAAAAACTGAAAATGAGATTAATTAGATAATGAATAGAAAATAATACCTTTGAAGGGTCAACTTTATGGAAGTTTTTGGCGGCGGAGGTGACACGGTCGGAGTTGTCGAGTGAGGAAGGTCGTACCTTGTCGCAAAAATGGCGACGAAAGAAGAGGGAGTTGAAGAAAGGGGTTTGTGAGAGAGCCCTTTTTGGTAGCTTGATGAATTTTACCGCCATTGTTGGGAGGAAGGAGGTGACGAGTGTGGACTATTGTGCTGCAAATAGGAGATTGTATTTCATAACTCAACTCAAGTTGACCCGACTGCTTAGAATATGGGTAATCCGACCCGACACATTGCACTCGTGAAAGTTACGCTAACAACTCAAAGAGATCGAATAATACGATGCATAAAACATCAAGAAAGGGTTTGCTAGTAAGAAAGGGTTTGCTAGTAAGAAAGATAAATAAAGGACTTGAGAAGAGGGGAGGCCTATAGAGTAAGGCCCCGTTCTGTTTTGCTCTGCTCTACTCAAATCAAATTTGTTCTGCTCAAATTAAATCTGCTCTGCTCGGTTCGGCTCTGCTCTATTTACAAAAAATAATTAATAATAACAACAATAATAATTAATATTGTATTGATGATAATAATTTATTATTTTGAATAATTATTAAGATTAAAAATAATTTAAATAATTATTAATATTAATAATAATTAATATTTATTAATCATAATAATAATTATTATTAATAATTATCAATAATAATATTTAATAATTGAAACTATTAAGAATTAATATTTAATAATATTATTAATTAATAATTTCTAATAATTATAACAATTCTTTCAAAAAAAAAAGAGATTGTTTTCAATTAGTACTTTTTATATTATTATCAATTTTAGGGTAAAACATATATGATTAAGACAAATTTATAAGTAAAATCATTATAACTCATTAAATCATTTTATTTTAATTTTTTGTGAAATAAATATAAGTAAACTGTTGTCTTTTATCTTTCTAGTATTAACATATGTTAAATATGGCACACATATATTTATGTTTTCACTCATTTATGTTTTCACTCACCTAAATCGTATATGCACGTAGTCGTAGTAGTAGTAGTAGTAGTAGTAGTAGTGGTAGTAGTAGTAGTAGTAGTAGTAGTAGTAGTAGTAGTAGTAGTAGTCGTAGTAGTAGTAGTAGTAGTAGTAGTAGTAGTAGTCGTAGTAGTAGTTGATTAGGGGATTTTGCTCCTACCAATCGGAATGCGCCACGTGGGCCAATCAGGACCTGCCAAGTGTCCCCTAGTTGGAACTGTCAGGGCTTGCCACGTGGCACGCGCTTATTCGTCCACCTTGGACCTGTTATGTCACGACATGTGGCATACTCCATGCCTAATGGAGAAACCGGCCACCCAGGCCCAACTTCCGAGGGAAGCCCAATCGGCCCTAGGTTTACCTAAACCTAGGATGGGCACGTTTCCCAAGGTTATAAATACCTCCCTTAATCCTCATTAAGGGGAGGGTGAGGACAGAAACATTACGGAACACACTAATAACCGGCTGATCTCGCTAACTAAGCAGATTACCTACCTTAAACACTCTCACCTAGAGAGACCTTATTACTTTAATTTCCGCATTAATTACTCCTTAATCAGGTACTAACTTGACCGTTGGAGGCGGAGCTCACAGGAGTCTCCGTTATTTTGCAGGTACAGGCGTCCGGTTCCAGTCTCGGAATTGTAACTCTCCCGCAGGACATCAGAAAACCCCGAAACATTTGGCGCCGTCTGTGGGGAGAGTACTTCAGAGATGGCATCCAAGTCTGTACCGACTTCTGAAGAGAGGCGTCCCCTAAACGACCCTCAAGTTCAGTCGGACCATGACACCGAAAGTGAATTTGAAGTTGAAACTCATACAGCTCCAGACGGGACCCTAAGGGCCCGACGTACCCGTCATACCGAAAGGAGGGAACGGGAGCATCTTCAAACAGGAAGCGAGCCAGCAGGCGCACCGCCTGTTCGGCAACAGCCGACTGATGGGTCTGCTCCCATCACAAGGAACGAACTCATGACCTTCATGAGGAACTTCAAGGGAGAGATTCAAGAGCTGATCAACAAGAAGCCGCCTGCTTCAGTCAAGGAGCAGTCGGCCAAGAAACCCTCCACTTCACTGAAGAGGAAGCCAGTTCAAGGGCGAGAGGCGACTCCTCATCCTAAATCTAGGAAGCGGGAGCCACCTGCCCTTGATTTCACAAAATTCCGTTATCCTACAGGAAATAGGAAACCGGTTCGTCATATTCAGGCGGACGGGTCAAAGCAAACATTCACAGATGCTCGGCTACTGCTAGAGCAGAAGAAGAGTGACCGATTGTCAGAGTCGGCTTCTACTTCAAACTTTCAAGACAGTTTGCGAAATGCCTCGATGAGGCATACTCAGTCGTACCATGAGAGTCAGTCAGGCGGCACCTCCCGTCAGTCCGGCTTTCATAGTGCCCAGGCGGTACCAAACTTACCATTTGTGCCGCAACAACAGTATTTTATGCAGCCACCTCCATTTGGTGGACCTACAGCAAAAAAACATCCAACCTATGGACTGGCAGCTACGGTTGCTTAGACTTGGTGAACAGCCGTCGGCCTTCTCCAAGGAAATTACTGACGCCGCTCAGCCGGCCAAAGTAAAAAATGTACTAGTAGGCGCCTATGACGGCACTACTAACCCAGAAGACCATCTGATGGCATTCACCAACCTGATGTACCTTCAAGGGTTGGATGATCCCACTTGGTGCAAGTGTTTCCCAGCGACTCTCAAAGGAATCGCACAGCAATGGTTCGGCAACCTGCCGACTGGTTGTGTAAATAGCTTCAGGACGCTTGCTTACTTATTTGCCTCCAACTTCGCCATGAACATCCCTGCGAAGAAAACGACCCTTGATTTGGGAACAATTCAGCAGGGCAAGAAGGAGGGGCTTCGTTCTTACATCAGGCGGTTCAACCTGATGAGAATACAGATTCAAGGGTTACTGGATGAGGTAGCTTATACCGACTTTTTTAGAGGTCTCAAAGACGGGTCTACCTTCAAATTTGATTTGGTTCGAAAAAGGGTGGCGACTCTTCAGGAGGCCTTGATTGAAGCAGAAGCCTATATACAGGTGACTGATCTGTGTACGATAAAACAGTCGGACGGGAAAAGGTTCGACAAAAGAGAAGGACGACAGAAACAGTCGTCAAACAAAGATGAGAAAAGAAAAGAGGTCTGGGCGGCTGATTCCTCTAAACAGCCGGCCCAGAAAAAGAAAAAAGAATTCAAACCATACTCCCCAAAGTATGCGTTTAACAAGGATAACCAGTTTATCCTAAAAGAAATCAAGGGACGGATCTCAATTGAGAAGCCGGTCCCCATGAAAGGTTCTGCAAACAACCGGAACCAATATAAAATCTGTGCTTATCATGATGACGTTGGTCATCACACTAATGACTGCATCAGTCTTATGCGGTACCTAGACCGCCTGGCTGAGCAAGGTGATCTTGACACTTATGTCAAGAAATCTACGGGGAACACTTCCTCAAAAAAGTTGTCGGCCAAAAAGAATCAACAGGCCGACAGCTCCGATACAGATGATGCAGTCGTCTACACCATTGCAGGCGGCTTCTCAGGAGGCGGCCCCACTATTAGGGGCAACAAAGATAATATAAGGCGGTTAGATGTAAATTCCGTTCACCAAGAACGGCCGTCCAAATATACATTTCCTGAGATTGTCATCACTGAAGAGGATCTAGGAGGGGTAAGGGGGCCGCATGATAACCCTCTCGTTATTGAATGTAAAGTGGCCAACCAGAGAGTTGGCCGAATCCTCATAGATACCGGGAGCTCCTCAGATCTCATCAGCAGCAAATGTCTGTCGAAACTGAAATATCAGACTGACTGCATACATCCGGCCTCCCACCCTTTAATAGGGTTTGGAGGAGGAGTCGTCCACCCACTGGGACGAGTAGATTTACCCATTCGCCTGGGCGAAAAAGGGGAAGGACGACACATGGTAGTCCGGTTCCTAGTAGTAGAGGAACTCTCGGCCTACAACATGATTCTGGGTCGACCAACCCTGAATAATTCCAAGGCGGTTATAATCCCGTCTCTTATGTTGCTCAAGTTTGAGAGGGATAATGGAACAGTCGGCTCCCTAAGGGGAGATCAGAGGATGGCCCGAGAGTGCTATCTCTCGGATGTCAAGCCCACTGTTATGGCCACTGGGTCAAGTGGTAAAAAAACAGACCTTGACAATGTCAAGGAGAGTGCGCCTGTTCAAGAAGCAGGCGGCAATAAGAGAAAGGCGTCCCTGACAGAGTCCGCAAGAAAAGCAAGAAAATAGCAATCATTGGCAGAGGAGCGGCCGGATGAGTTCCGCCCTCAGCCGGCTGGTGAGCATGCGGACCTGATCTTAGACGACTCACGTCCTGACCGAACAGTCAAAGTTGGGACGACTGCTCTGAGAAACCTTGGTGACGACTTTCACAACCTATTGAAAGAATACAAGGACATCTTTGCATTTGAAGTCCATGAAATGCCAGGCATTAGTCCTGATCTGGCGGTACATAAACTCGCCGTGGATCCAAAAAAGAAGCCGGTACGGCAAAAGAAGCGGAACCATGGCGAAGAAAGAAGTCAGGCGGCAGCCGCCGAAGTTAAAAAATTACTTGATGCAGGGTTCATTCGGCAATGTTACTTCCCAGACTGGGTTGCAAATGTGGTGCTTGTTAAAAAGCCGAATGGCACCTGGCGAATGTGTGTAGACTACACAGACTTAAACAAGGCGTGCCCCAAAGACAGTTACCCTCTGCCTAAAATTGATAACCTGGTCGACTCAACAGCCGGCCATGCCTTGATGAGTTTCATGGACGCCTATTCTGGTTTCCATCAAATTCCCTTATGGAAGAAAGATCAGGAGAAGACGGCCTTCGTCACTGATCAGGGGTTATACTGTTACACGGTCATGCCGTTTGGTCTTAAGAATGCCCCGGCTACCTTCCAACGAATGATAAACACTGTGTTCTTTGATCAGATTGGGAGAAACGTCGAGGCATATATTGATGATATGATTGTCAAGACTAAACTTCAGAAAGATCATCTGTCGGACCTCCGAGAAACTTTCGCCACACTCAGGCGGCACCATGTTATGCTCAATCCCAAGAAATGTGTATTTGGAGTTGAGTCTGGGAAATTTCTCGGATTCCTTATCAATCAGAGAGGAATAGAAGCGAACCCTGAGAAGGTGCAGGCGGTCATTGACATGCAGTCGCCTCGTACCATCCGAGAGGTTCAGAAGTTAACAGGTTGTCTGGCGGCCTTGGGAAGATTTCTAAGCCGATCAGGCGACAAATGC